CCTTCAATTCAAAAATGATTTTTAAAAATTAGCCTGAATAATGTTGCTCATTTAAACCAATATTAATGTAAGCTGATTGTTGGTGGAAACCATTCACGGAGGCTGTAGTAAGAGTTGGTGTAGTGAAGAGGAGCCGCCGATAGTTAAAAAAACTAAAAGACCTCCGTTTTCGGCGTCGGTGGCTTTCACAGCACCGGCGCCGACACTAGTATTGTATATTGGTTTCTCTTCTCTTCAATTTACTTTCGCACATCTATCTAAGGGTCAAAAGGAACAGGATCTACTACGGTACAGTTGAGTTTTGTAGAGGTGAAGATTTGGGATTCGATCTATCAGAGATCTGGAAGGGGTCGAGGTTTCCTCTGTGTGGTCGAAGACGCGCTTGTGGCCGGGATCATCGAACTTGAGTTACTTCTTCTAGTGAATGGGTCGAGCTCTCGTCGGAGAAAGAAGTCTTGTTGCCGGGAGGTTAGGTCGTACGGTTTAAGATCGCCGACGGTTTTTCTTGAGATCGACGGTCATCTCAGATCTGAGATCTAGGTAGTGGGGTTTGGTGGGCTTGTTAGGGGCTCGGGCTTTCGGGTTGGGGCTTGCGATCTGGGCCGTTTATTGGGCTTTTGATGGGCCTCAGTTCTGGCTCGCGGTTTTGGCCTATTTTTACTTGGCGGGTTTGTTCTGCTTATCTTTACTCTGCCTTAGTAGGTTCTTTGTTCCGTAAGTATTAGTAGTTGTATCAGTGGTGTTTGTGATCCTTAGCCGTATCGATGGTCATAAATCGTATAGTTGTTTAATTGTCGTTTTCTATGTGGTGTTGGCGAGTGTGTTTTGGGTGTCGACTGGTTATAGCTATGAGGAATGGTGTAGGTGGACTTTAAGTCAGTAGCGGGATTTCGTCTTTTGAACTTCTCTGGAGGTTAGGGTCATCGGGGGTTTCGGCTCCGCATATCTAGTGATACCTCGAAGTTTCATAGGTTTTCTCGGTTCCGACTTGATATGTCCTCTTTCCCATGGACTTGTTCTTTGAGGACGAATAAAGCTTTGGAAGGTGTGGTGATGATGAAGATACTCTTGGGGTAGGTCTTCCCCGATCAACGGCCAAGGATCCTCGCTCTCCATCTTTCTGAATAATTCTTCTTGCGGTTGTGCATATCAACAGCTTTCCCTCACTGATATTGGGTTGAGTACCAACGAAGAAACTTCAGAGAGGTTTGGATCCTTTTCCTGTTGTGATGACTCTTATTGCTTTCGGTTTTTCAATGTTTTAGCCTTCCAAACTTTTGTTCTTGTCTCGGAATTAAGTTATGGGTAACTGTTTTGATCAGTCGTTTGATTAGTGGTTTGACTTGTGGGTTTGAGTAGTTGACTCTCCCGGTTCGGGATTGAGTTTTAACGTTTGTACTTCTATTTGAAGAGTTTTAACGTTTGTACTTCTGTTTGAAGTTATCAATAATAATTCACCAGATGGAAAACAAAAAAAATGTTGCTCATTTTTGGCATCAAACGGATATCAGTTTTACTTTTCATCCAACTTGTATGATGAGTTTAGGAGTAGATCTAACATCCTTGTTGTAAAGCACTCGGGCTTCTCTGGCACTACTGATGTTATAATCATGTCTGAACTTTAGATTGTTCTAAACTTTAAACGGTTGGGCCATAAGGAAATAAACTATGGTTTAACCTCGTTCTTAAACGAAACTTGGAAATTTCATTCTACTTTTAAAAATAAAATCATTAAAAAACATCTCTTTCAGACATATTTTTAATCATTCACAATCACAAGCTTTAGAGATGGTCATTTCTCAACTAACACGGCGAGCTTTATCTTCCTGCCCCAACCCAGGGATTTCTGAGCATTTGCAATGCCTTGAGGATCTGTATTAAACATATCAAATGTCAAAACCCGCATACCAGCGCCATATATGAAGATGAAGGGTCAGAGAAGGACTCAAAGTTGAAAATACTAAAGAATGCTATCACTACTTTTATAACACTACAAGAACACATTTGGGTATATAATCCGTGGAATTAACTCATGGTATTGGATACTTAAACTTACCAACGAACTGAGTGAAAATGCGGGTGAAGAAGCTCAAGTTGCGAGAGACGTTGTATGCCATTGTAGGGGGAAGAGGCTTCACCAAAGTGTCTATAGTGAATACTCTTTGCAGGAACTGTAGTAAAGAGGCAGACTTTTACATGTTAAGAAAAACTTGTTGAGGATATAGCATATACACACAGAAGTTGCAGTCTCTAATAATGGAAATCAAAACCATTGAGCAATTGCTTCTCTATGAACACCCTGTCACTACATAATATGCTTTCTATGTAACGACATTCCAAGATGCATGCAGTAGTCAGGTCTTATTCAAAACTATTTCAATCCCAAGGATTATAAAACATGTCTATTTGTACAACTAAGTGGAGGCCACAGAATTAGCGATGTCCCGCACTATAGAAAAGATTGACCAAACCCCAGTTTGATAAGAACTAACTATAAGAAATTTCTATAACCAAGATACTTAGTAGTCCACTAAATTAATAAGTTACAAAAACCAGTGAGTACAACTGACAGTTCATATAATCTCCAGCACTACCAAATATCTTTTTTGGTGTAACGGGGTTTATATCAGAAGTAGACAGTTTTCTTCCACAAGAGTATACCTCCCCCGTGTTAACTTAAGAGGAAATTTGAAAAAATACCTTTTTTGGCTTTTTAAATTTGAACAATACCTTTTTTTATTTTTTTTTTGAAAAATACACTTTATTAAATATGAAATTACAAAAATATCCTAAAAAAATCTGCACAACAAATAATAAATTACATATTTAAAATTYAATTAATTTGTTGTGAGAAATTAATATATATAGCCTATATTTTAGGGCGATCATATGTTTTTTAAAAATTGTACACTTTACTCTATTGTACACGTAAATCATGCAAGTATCACATCAATCCCAAAAARAATATAGTTATGCTGAAATAAATTAGCCACATTTCAGACGATACTATAACATCTATTCTTGTTTTTTTATTTATTAGAAACAAAAAAACTACACTTATTTTTAAGATAACTTAACAAGGAAGTGTTTCACTATATTGTTAAATAACATAGCACGATTATATTAGCTATTCAACACGAAAAAATCAAGTCTCTATCCTTCAATTCTAACTGTTTGTTTTTGTATGCCAAATCTTTTTTTTTTGAGACTTTGTATGCCAGATCTTTAAGAGTAATCTACAAAATCGATTAATCAACAAAAAAAAGAAAAAAAAATAGAGCATGCATATTATACATCATTTTATAACCTTCACAATTGAAACAAAAAACATTGTACACGTAAATCATGCAAGTACACGAGGATATAATATATTAAATGTTGAAGATAAATATCATGTATAAACAAGTGATTTATCTT